CTTTCCCTTCTCCTTTCCTTCTTCTCTTTTCCTTCTTCTTTCCTTCTCTCTCTTTCCTTCTTTCCCTCCTTCTTCCCTTCTCTCTCTTTCTTTCCCTCCTTCTTTCCTTCTCTTTCTTTTCCTCTTTCCTTCCTTATTTCCTTCTCTTTCTTTCACTCTTTTCTTCCTTCATTCCTTCTCTCTACTCTCTCTTTCCTTCCTTCTTTCCTCCTGCGGCCCAACTCTAGTGGCCCAACTCTAGTGGCCCCCCCCCACGCTGGCTGGGGAAGGGAAGGGGAGGCTTTTGAAGATGCCTCCCCCCCCTTTTGCTTCCCCTTCTGACATCACTTCCGGTGATGTCAGGGGGCGTTGCATATCCTAACGAGCTATTATGCTAATAGCCTAGTAGCTCATTAGCATACAGTATGCTAATGAGCTCCTGCAGCTTTTTTTCTACGAAAAGACCCATGCCTAGAGGTAGCTGGTTGGCCACTGTGTGAACAGAATGCTGGACTTGATGGGCATTCTTATCCAGCCTGGCTGATTCAGCATGGCTCTTCTTATATTCTTGTGATATGGTGGGCTAACAAATAAATGAGTAACTTGATGTTACAAGGCAGACTATTGTTAAACCAACTAAGTGAAATGTACATGAAAATAAAGGCCTGCAAATGATTAAAAGTGACTTCTAGACCATTTGTATGTGGTAATAAGGACTGCCAATTTAGGACGCACATTCAGACATTAATTTATTCATCATGATCTGACTTGAATGCCAATTTCATAAATACATACAGAATTATTTCTGACAGGGGCAGGATTGTTCTGAATGGCATTTCTATTGGCAACATTTCCACTTTCTGCCAATTGTTGCACTCTCTCGTTGGCTTTGAGAGCAAAATAAGATTTGACACTGAGGGCTCTATATTGGTTTCTGTGGTCAGTTTGCAACCCAAGGCAGCTGCTTTGAAGATTAGGGAAGAAGAGTCAATGACGGGGGGGGGGATGTCTTCCCATATTTTTCATATGCCTCTCCAAAGCTCTCGTGGGCAAATTCAGGCACTAGATAAAATATCTAGTGACACTGAAAGTTTTGTGCAATTTTTCACCGAACATTTATTTAAGGCAGTTGAAGTCTGTAGATATGCATGACACTGGTGGTTGTCCATTTCCCTGCTTCCATTGGCAAACAGCGGTTGCAGGCAGAAAGAAGGGACTGGAAATACTTTTTCCCGCCATCACCAAGGCCACCAGGGAAAGAAGGAGAGAGAGAGCCTTCTTTGAATGTGAGGGTACATATGCAAAGACCTGTAGCAGCCTGCACAGGGTGAACTTCACAATATCTATTTGTTTCATCCAGATGTGGTAGAAAGTGCAATCAGGTCACAGTCATAGAATCATAGAATCATAGAATGTTAGAGTTGGAAGGGACCTTTCAGGTCATCTAGTCCAACCCCCTGCACTATGCAGGAGCATAGCTGAAAGGTAGCCCTACATACCTACAACATACCCAAAAGATGGTCGTCCAGCCTCCGTTTGAAAACGTCCAGCGAAGGAGCACCCACCACCTCCCGAGGCAGACTGTTCCACTGCTCAACCAGTCAACTTATGGTGACCCCCATAGAGTTTTAGGCAAGAGGCCAACAGAGGTAGTTTGTCATTGCCTGCCTCTGCATAGGGACCCTGGACTTCCTTGGTGGTCTCCCATCCATGTACTAACCAGGGCTGAACCTGCTTAGCTTGCAAGATCTGATTAAATCAGGCTAGCCTGGGCCATCCAGGTCAAACTGAGCATTTAGAAGCCCACTCATTTTCGGTTTATTTCTATTTAAAGAAAAGTTTTGACTTTAGCTTTTAAAAGATTTCTATGCCATGCAAAAATGAGTGAATAGCAGCGGCTATTGTTAGTATGCATATCATGCAATTAGCAGTTTATAAAAAATGGAGTTTTGGCTTGCCCCCTTCCCTTAGTCTAATTTTATTAAGTTGGAAATAACTCCTGTTGATTTCACTGGGTCCTGCTATGGTGCATGTGTGTAGGATCTCAGCCTTCATTAGCACATGGTATCTATCTGAATTCTCCATGTGAAAGGAGAAATTTAATTTTAGAGTACTGGACTTAAGTTGGATAAGCACACCCATCATATAATGGCAAAAGGGCATACTGAAGAATCTCATGATTATGAGATTTGACTAGAAATACAATTAACAGTAAACAGAGGAGGAAGTGCTTTTTATCTGGGGCAACAGATGTGTCATTTTCTGATGATCTGACTTGTTCTTTCAGGTAAGTCAGGTGACTGATGCAGAAATACCAACTACTGTGACGCCTCCTTGCCAAGGTTGTCTCCTGCCTTCCACTATATTTTAAGTAATGGGTGGAGATTAGTTCCTTGATTTGCACGTAGAGAGTGTGCATACACATATATGTTTAAGGAAGAGAAGTCATTACAGCATCGCGGCTAGGAAAAGCTACAACTTAAGTGACATCCAAGAACAGCAGAATTTGTTTCTAGCTCTTGGGATCCGAGGAAGCTACTGGGAAGAAGGTAAGACATTTCAACCTTTCTCTGCATATTTCGTGTAGCCAAAGACAGGCTTTTAGTAGATGGCATCTATATTGCTGTTGGTAAATTAGAGTTTAATTTTAAAATCCAGAGACCAATGGAGTTGTCTGGGTTTTCCTAAGGAAGTAAAACAGACTAGTGAACTGAATCACAGGCAATTAGGTATTGTCAGAGGAATGGCAAGGTGCTAGTTTCCTCATATACCCTTCAAGAATTGGGTGATATTAAAAAATAGCGATTCTAAAAACCCCAGAAACTTTGAGGCAGGCATTTCTCCACTTCCAGTTCTAGTTGGGTTTCACTGAATAAGGCATTAAAATAATTCTAAGGCATTAAAATAATTAAAGCTAAAGAAATGTTGTATAGCCTAAATTGGAAGTTCATTCATTTGCCTTCCTCTTCTTCTTGCCCCCAGTCCTGTACTTCTTTAAAAAGATCCCGATATTCTGTATGATGTAGGCTCAGCCCAGCACTGCGGCTCTTCCAGGTCTTTCTCCCCCCTTTCTTCTTCACAAGCTTTCTCCTCCTTCCCATAAGACCAAGAACTTATTATTGTCCCCAGGTGCAGGGCTAACAGGGCTGAATTCCAAACAGTTAGTATTTTACAAACAGGGCCTGCATATCCTGTACACATGCTGATTTTGAGAGGGGTTGATCTGAGCATACAGAAATGTGCAAATGTTATTTCAGGATAAAGGAAGTGTAATTAATTGGTCAAAGAGGAGAAAAAAAGAAGAGTCATGGTGTGAAGATGCTCTGCCCTAATTATCCAGGGCGGCAGCTTGCAACATGTCTTGGCCATTGGTTCATATAAAGTGTTCATAGTATTTCATGTCTCATAAGTCAGATTCAATTTTGGTTTAGCCTAGAAGGGTGAGATGTATTTTTTTTACTCACTTAGCAGCAGAGGAATGTAATCCTTGTGTTAAAACCAAAATACTCAGAGGTTTGGGGTCAACTGAGTCTTCAGGTGCAATACTCCGCCCAGGATACACGTGACCCCAGCAGAGCAGTCCTATATAGAATTACACCCTTCTATGGCCATTGACTTCTGTGGGCTTAGAAAGGTTAACTCCGTTTAGGATTGTAGCTAAATAAATCCATTTCCACTTGGGACACCCTGTCTCTTTCTACCAATACTTACAAGTATGACATTTTCATGGGGGTAAAACCCCCACATCATTAACCATGCTTAAGAAAATTATCGAGAGCTGATGTTGTTGATAAACACACATAGGGCTTGATCCAAGTTACTACCAGCAGAGTGAAGCTAGCAAAGCAGGACATCCCTGACTCCGCACTCCTACTGCAGTCCACTGAGCCCCAAAATTATGTTCCTGGGTGTCAAGGGATGCTCAGGAACAGTGCCAGGGATCTGCAGTAAGAGGGGGAAATAGGCAGAAGCCCTTGCTCTGCTAACAGAAGGTCTCTTGGGCCACTGTAAATGCTTATTGCACTAGTGGAATGGCATCTCTGAATCAAGCCCACAGGCCATAGGTTTGTTGATGTTTTGTTATTACAATTTGTTGGTGAAAATCTATAGGCTACTTATGCATGGATGCAGAAAGAAAATAATTAGAAAAATGAATGGGGAAAGAGATCTGTATTGAGATACTATGGGGGGAAATGGGAACATGTCTTGTGTTTTTTTATTATGAACCAATCAAATTAATTGCTTGAAATATCAGGGCATGCTTTCTAGTTTTACACATATGAGACCGAAGGGTTCATTTGCTGATAATGTTTGGAAGAGTGATAATTAATAGAAAATCTATGGAGATTTGATCCATTTGGGATATTAACTTTGTTTAAAAGAGCACAAGTTTCTTATTGGAAATTGATTAGCAGTAGTGAAGATTATAATAGCAAAACATTAGGAAACAAATAGTTAATTGTATGCTTCCAAAATGCCAGAGGGTAAATTTGTGTGTAGCAGAGAATTAGATTTTTTATTAAACCTTGGGGTGGGGGATAGGAATTGTGAAAATTTTTGAATTGGCTAAACATTTCAGTTATTGAAATAATCTTTGCAATTGCCCCTATTAAGAGGATATCTCTTTTTTCCTGGCAAAACACATTTGCTGTGTTCATACATGTATGTGTGCACACTTGCATATTTTCTGGCAGAAAGGCTTGAGATACAGGACTGAGATACAGGAAAAACCAAAACATTTACTCAAATGCACACATGCACCAAAATCTCATCTTATATCCACTGAACTGTCTTTATAATTTATGAAAGAATTACTGGACACACCTTAAATGGGGATTATTAGTGGACTGTGAACACTCATGTTTGGGTGAGGGAGCAAATGGATTGGATCCAGCAGAGGATCCATGGATGGGAGAGACTGATTTTCACTGATTCCCTAGCCCTACTGCCGACCTCCAACTCTCCTGTAGTGTTTTTTGGGGGGGTGGCTTATCCATCAGGAGCATCATTTGCCTGGCACTTTAGGCTGCAATGGAAGGGAGAAACTGAGAAAGTCATGCTCTGGAGACAAAAATGCCTTCCATCCACGGAAATCCTCCGTAGGATCTAAGCCATTGTCTGGCATTTCTCAACAGATCAAGTTGATGTCTACAACTTACTTTGATTTGCATAACAGTTAGTAATTATTTTTGGATTGAATTGAACTTTTAAAGATTATATTCAAGGTTGTTTGATTTGTATACTAAACTCTTCAAGAACTATCTCTATATGCTTTCTAAAAATACTATTTCAATCTTGTCCTGTGGGTTTGATAGATATGAATTAATTCTTACTGCCCCAACATGGATGCGGTATTAAAGGGGAATGATTAAATTTAATCTGTGTACATAATTAGATCATCCCTCTTTATGTTTAGTATTGAATCTGTTTACCTGGATGGGTATTTCTTAGCCCACAAAAGATGTGATTGTTAACTCTGATCAAACTGATCTCTGTTCTGGGTCATGCAGTTATCAAGAGCAACTTCTGCCTCCATTGGGTCAGTCCAGTTTCTAAGGAAGAGTCAGAGTAGAGTTAGCAGGGGCATCCAAAGGCCTGTTCAGATGCTCTTCAATCCTGGGATTGTATATTTGTATGTGTTTGGTATGTCTTCGTGCTATAGTTAAACGAATAAAATAAAGAATCGGGGAGAAAAAATCCTGGAATTCCACGCTGAATGAAAAATAAATGGGTGGGCTTGGGCTAGGCCCATAGCCGGGGGGGGGGCATTTGAGGTGATGCTCCCTCACAAATGTGCCCTGCCCCCTCACTGGGCCCTTTCTCCAGCTTATTTTTTTATTATTTTCGTGACATTGTCCCCCCCCCCATTTTTTTCTGGCTACGGGCCTGGCTTGGGCTCATTTGCTCTCTCCACACCCTTCTGTTCCTCTTAGGGTTGCCAGATCCCCTCACTGCTCTGGTGGGGGGATTTGGAGGGCATTCTAGGGGTGGACAGTGATGTTGCATGGGGGATGCTCTGGTTTCTGGGCAAACTCTATGGTAAAATTGGGCTTAAACCATAGAATTTGCCCAAAAAACAGAGTGTCCTCCCGTGCAACGTCCCCAGTATGATAGGGGCAGGGTTTTTCTTGCCAACCAGCTGGTCTGCTGTGGAGCCCTGTGCGCAAAAAATCTACTTTGTGAGCTAAAATTCTACTTTGTGAACTTAGAGGGAACACTGCTGGCAACCCTAGTTCCTCTCATCACAGATGAATGAACTAGAAAAGACTACATTTATTTGAATGTGCTGGAGTTTGTGAGGTAGAACCCATCTTTCTAAGGAGATATATTTTCCAAATTAGGCAAATATTATGTGCAGATAAATATGGGTCTCTTAATTCACACATTAATTCACACCAGTGGTAATGTGGGTACAGTTTGTAGGAAAAGGGGGATGCTTAAAATCTTATCCAGGTGGAATCATGAGGTCAAATCAGTGTTCAGGCCCAAGAGTCATGAGTTTCCTTAAACGTCCAAACCCAGCTACTGTCAGAGACAGAATATTTTAAAATGTCCTGTTGATCTGACCACATGCAGTTATGGCTTGGCTTTTTGTAAGGAGCTGCCAACCAGTGTTCCCTCTAAGCTAGGGCTGCCAAATCCCCCCGAGGGGCGAAACCCCCCCGCCCCAGAGGCCCGTTCCCCGACGCCGGGGAATTGGGCCCCGGGGGGAACCCCGCCCCAGCGTTTACATCACAGGGAAGTGACGTTATGACACTGAGCATGCTGGGGGCGGGGCCACGGCCATACAAGGAAAAACTCTATGGTTTTCCCTTGTATGGTCATGGCCCCGCCCCCAGCATGCCCAGCGTCATAACGTCACTTCCCTGTGATGTGCATGCAGCGCGCGCACGCCAGGAGCCGAGCTGGAGTCTCCTGCCGGAAGGGTAAGTGCCAGTTGGCAACTCTACTCTAAGCTGAGTTAGTGTAAGCTAGCTCACAGTTTTTTAAGCCTCTAGCTCACACATTTTTGTCCTAGCTCAGGAAGAAGGGCTCCAGAGCAAACTAATTTATGCAGCAGCCAAATCGCTCGCTCACAACTTTAATGCCAGGAGCTCACAAAGTAGAATTTTTGCTCACAGGATTCCACAGCTTAGAGGGAGCATTGCTGCCAACTTGTGTGGTAGTACACGATTCTATCTTCAGTTTGTTTATTTAGAACATTTATATACATTCTCTCCAGAGAACCTGCTCAAGGCAGTTCATAAACATGATAAAATCTTAAAACACCATAGCCAGGATTATTTGACTTCTGCAGCTAATATATTCTCATAGTTTTTCATTTAGTCTCATCAGTGCTGTTGCCTCCCAAATAGTCACTGTTTCCTTATATCCTGTGAGGCATATCAAGTCTAACTTGTTTTCAGGCTAAAATGTAATAAATCTCATGTCTTTAGAACTCTTGTATTTACCGTAAACCACACACCCAACTTCATGCACATTTGTCCAACAGACACTGAAATTAATATTTATTTTTCTTAAATACAAAGGAAACTTAAGTTTCCCAAGATTGGTTTTAATGTCAGAGAAACTTCTACTTATTTCGATAGGTATCAATCCCAGTTCTTAAATCTTAGTGCAATTCCAATTTTACAGATGGGAATGAGGATTAAAAATTTGATATTTTAAACTATTAAAGATATTAGGAGTATGGACTGTTTGTAAGCTAGATTGTCTTCGGTCTCTTCCAACTGTCTGATAAGAGATAAAATATCATTTGAAACAAATCCACTGAATTATTGTATGCTCTAGAATTTTATTTCAGACTTCCCCAGTCTATAGTAATATCATTACTTTATAATAATAGTTACAGTCTAACAGTCATAAAACTGTTAGTTGCCATAAATTGAACCATGTTTGATAATCAAACCATGTACATAATGGCAACGCAAAAGAAGAAGAAAGGTACCAATTTTGTTATTTTAATGTGTCAGTTTTATAGATGCTCAAATCTGTAAAGAAGCTGAAGTCCAAACAAGAATAACTTCTTATTTGCTGCATTCACCCCTATTATTCTGAATTCAGATACTGATCCTTAAATGTGCTGCTAATACAATATTCCATTGCTTTTAATTTTAATTTTTAGCTTTTGTAGCTACAGAGAAAATTTCTGAAATGTGACCATACACTTAAGGATCAACAATGAAAAGATTAATAAAAGAAATCTCCGAAATATTACTTTAATCAGTATAAATGTTCTTAGAAGTCATGGGGGGGGGGCAATATCTGATTTGAATATACTTGGAATTAACATAGCCAGGAATACCTTCTGAAGCACTCAGCACATATGTTTAAATAAAAGTCACCAACTACTCCCTTTCCCCTTTTAATTAAAAAAAAGTCCAGAAGGAGGAAAAGACACAGCAAACACAGGTCAGAGTCTGAGTAATAGAACAAATATTTCTCTGATGATGTTATATGCATGACTTCTTAGCCGGCTTTCCCTTGTCACACTGTTTTATTTACTCATTAAGAGCCATATTCTTTACCCAAACTGACTTACCAATTTGGTTTCATTAGCAAATTCCAGTGACTGCAGTGTAATTGAGGTGTGAATTAGATTTTGGGTTAGTAGTACACATGCATTCACTAAATGTGATCTCAATAGCACATGCTGGCCAAGTTTTGGAAATTCATGAAATGGACTGCTTGTGGCACCTGGAATTTTCTACTGAGTAACTTTACTGTTTCTATCTTAAACATTCTTTAGATTCCCCCCCCTCTTTTCAATACAGTTATTTCAAAGGGTCCTTTTAGAGTAGGTTTGCCAACTCTAGATTGGGAAATTCCCAGAGATTTGGGGGTAAAGCCTGGGTAGGGTGGAGTTTGGGGAGGGGAGGGAACTCTGCTGGGATATGACACCATAGAGGCCACTCTCCAAAGCTGCCATTCCCTCCAAGGGAACTGATCTCTATAGTCTGGAGTTCTGAACATAAGAACATAAGAGATGCCAATGTTGGATCAGGCCAAAGGCCCATTCAGTCCAACACTCTGTATCACACAGTGGCCAGAAATACCAGTGCCATCAGGAGGTCCACCAGTGGGGCCAGGACATTAGAAGCCCTTCCACTGTTGACCCCCCCCCAAGCACCAAGAAGACAGAGCATCACTTGCCCCAGAGTCCCTATCTATACCTTGTGGCTAATAGCCACTGATGGACCTCTGCTCCATATGCTTATCTAATTCCCTTTTGAAGCCGTCCATGCCTGTAGCTGCCACCACTTCCTGTGGCAGTGAATTCCAGGTGTTAATCACTCTTTGGGTGAAGAAGTACTTCCTTTTATCCGTTCTAACCCGACCGCTCAGCAATTTCATGGAGTGCCCACGAGTTCTTGTATTGTGAGAAAGGGAGAAAAGTACCTCTTACTCTGCCTGCTCTTCTGTTGGAATTCTAGGAGAACCCCAGGCCCCACTTTGAGGCTCGCAATCCTAATTTAGAGAGATTGTAGGGATACGGGATGGCATTTTAGCCTACGTGTGATTATATTACTCAGCATCATCTACATTTCTGGATCCCACAATGGTTTTACACATTGGCTATTATATCAACTTTAGTAGGTATGAAATGCATAAACTGGGTACTAGCTATGGCTGGCAGGTGGGAGGACAAATGAAGATTGTTTGAAGCTCAGCAAGTCATATCTAGATGGGAGACGTCATGGGTGCTTATATGTTCATTGCCTTAGAGTTGCATTGTGGAAGAAAATGTAATAAATAAAGGGATAAATCCCCTTCTTCTTTATTGGTAAACCTGCCTTTTTGCAATCTGATCTTGATTATATCCAAGAATAAGTTTGCAGATTTTGGCACTTCGCTACTTGCACTGGTATGCAATTTCGATTTAGATCCTGAAATGGCTTTTGAAAGGGATTAGACACATTCACTGAAGACAGGTTTTGTTAATCAGCCATGACAGCTAAAATCTTTAAGCACCAGAGGGGGTAAAGCACCTGATGTCTCAAACTCAGGAGTTTGGCAGTGGAAGGTGCAGCACATCTGCACGTAATACTGGAAGGTCTATGAATAGAGCTCTTGGTGCTTTTCCCCTTTAAAAATCAAACACAGAGTTCCCTGATTCTGATGGGCACTGTGACACAAAAGAAAGAAGTCTTTTAGATGTCCCCATGCACCATTTTACCAACCTGAAACATCTCTGGGCAGCCACTATTTGCCTCACTGGGGCAAACATTCTGGTACCTGCCTCTTGGCAGCTTGCAGAGAGAGAGAGAGAGAGCGCCAAAGGCCTGGTCACAGCTGGCCAAACTGGCCTCGAGAAAAATTGCTTCCTGACCCCAAAGTGGTGATCAGCATTTCCTTGGGCGTGTAAGAAAGGGCCATGAGAACTAAGCACTGAGGCAACCCTTCCTGCCCTCCCTCTCATGATCTGCCAAAATTCAAAGAATGCATGAGGGCATCTTGACATACATTGATCTTCCACACATGGAACTACTAGTAGCAGAGGAAGTGAGTGCTGCAGCCAGAGAGGTGCGTGAGGTGTTGTAAGTGTTGTAAGATCCAAGCCTATTTATCTATGGTAAGTTCTTCCCTCCTTTAAACATTTGCAGCTTTTTTTGGCATCTCTTAAACATCTAAAACTAAACAAAGATGTCTGGGTACATGTTTTCCAGTCATTTTTACCAGGTTTCAGCTGTACGGATGGAGCCCTATCCCTTCACAAAGGAGTAAAGAAAAATATTCAAATCTCTGAAGTATTCTTAGCAGGGAACTTCCCCCCACCACAACACAGCCATGCCCTTTTGGGAGTGGGTTGCACGACGGGTCAAGAAGCAACCGCGGTCTCTGTGCAGAAGGAGAATGTTCCAAAAGTCAAGTAGTCTCCGCCAGCAGGATTACCAGACTTTACTTGAGGAGTGTTTGAAGAACAAATGTCTCTTTGAGGATGAGAACTTCCCAGCTGATATGAGATCCATTGGAACAGGGTCGCTCCTTCAGAAACTCCCTCAGAAACTCCAGTGGAAGAGGCCACATGTAAGTTATGGGATCTTATGGGAAAGAATGAAAGACTGATACACTAAATAGACTTTTTACTTCACAGGCTTGGAGCCCAGCTAAATGTGACAGCAAACTTGTGGATGCTGTGAGTTTGCCATTGCCATTTTATAGTAAAATGGCACAAGGCCTGCTGAATCCAGCCCTCGTGGAATTTTAAAATCACCGTGAAATGGCAAACGCAAACACATGGCTGCCATGTGTTTGCTGTCATGGTTAACTGGGCTCTCAGAAGACTCTTCCACACACAGGGGTTGTGCATGTCAGGTTTTCTGAATCACAGGTACACCAGGAAAGCACGCAGGACAGATCACCATGTGATTTGCTGTCAATTCAAATAGAACAGCATGGGTGATATAGTCCATATTTGACAACTGCATGCAGTGCTAAATCCCTGCACTGCTTGGGGCTTCCTCCTAGAAGTACCTCCTGCCCACACATTGTTTTCTGCACAGAACTCACATGATTTTTAGCAACCTTGAACCACAAAGCAAAGCAAGGTATAACTATTTCATATGTAAATAAACAGGATGAGCAGGAGGAAGTGGAAGTATGGAAAGACAGATGTAATGAACTCCAGCAGCATAACTCCTCTTGGGAGGCGAGGGGAGCAGGCAGAATAAAAGAGTTTGAATAAAATAGGAGAGAAGCAGGTGGGATGGTGAGAAAAGACAGTGGTGTAATTTGAATGATTTAAGCACTGAATTGTGAGGTTTGCAATTTTGCATATTTTCGTTTGATTTTGCATTGTTGTGACCCACAAATCAGTGTAGGAGTTCCTTCCAGTTTACAATCCCAGGGGTGGACAGGAGGCCCAGTTTTTATCATTACATCTTGAGTACAGAAGCATCAAGAAGCAGAGAGTTGTCCAGAGTAAACACTGAGCGACTGGGGCTATATTTTTAGCTCAAAGGAATTACTTTTTTTTTTTACCGGCAAGGCGGGGTATAAATTGGAAATAAATAAATAGAAATAAAAATAAATTATGCTGTCACAAAAATGTACTTTGGCCACAGGGCATTGTTCAAAAATGATTTCACAGGCCTCATTTATGCCTTGCAGTTTGGAGCATAAGACTGTGGCTTAGCATTTCTTTTAAGATAGTCACTTTATTTTATTCCAGGAGCTGCATGAGACTCCAGTGTTTTATGATGCAAACACCAAACGCCTTGCTCTGTGTCAAGGACTGATAGGTATGGGCTCCCCTCCCCTTGTTACGGCTATGGTATATGGTGTATAACAACTGAAAGAGGATATCTGAACTGTATTGCCAGCTCCAGGATGTACTGGTTGGGCAAACAAGGATCATGCTGAATGTATCATTTCATAAAAAGATTTACTTTCTGGTCTAATTTTAATTGCAATAAAGTCATTTTAGATGCATTTACCCTAAATTATTTAGTTCCATGCTCATGGTAATAATTATCTTCTCTGAGTACTCAAAAATATTACATGCAGATTTTTTGGTCTATTTTCTTTCTTGGTACAGGAGACTGCTGGTTTTTGGCTGCCTTGGAAGCTTTGACTTTTCATCAAGATATCTTGTCTCAGGTAGTGCCACAGAACCAAAACTTTGAGAGGAAGAGGTATGCTGGCATATTCCATTTCAAGGTGGGCATCAGTCCCCTAAGGATAGCCTAAGCACTATATGTAATAGCAAACTACCTGTTAGGTATATTTTCTTAGGAGAGATGTTCAGGTATGCATAAAAATATAGCTTCATCAATTAACCAAAGGGATTAAGGAAGAAAAAGACAACAACTAAAAGTGGCCTAATGAAGCTGGAAAGTGAACGTTGAGAGCAGCTAAATGTCAGTTAAAGGGGGAAAAGGAGGGGAATTGTCCTGCAGATGCCCTGAGAACTTAAAAGGGAAAATTTTCAAGGGTGGGATGAGATTTCTGAGTTGTCTTCTCCTTGATTCCTTGGGCCTCCTTCCCAGCTAATAAAAGTCTGATAGCATAAGAAGGCAGGCAAGTCTGTTAACATTAACATTCTGTAACAATTATAAATGTGCAATTTAAGACAAAATCCAGCCTGCACACCAGTATAGTCCACATGGTTTCTAAAAAAATAAATATATGCTCTGGAATGCTAAAAGGAAGTCATTCCAATGTAAATTTTTCTTGGGATGTATGCTACTTTCCCTGCACAAAGTAAAAGCAAAAGTTAGATTCCTCATTCATAGCATAACATGATTTCAGAATGCTGTAGACTGCCAGAACTTGCTAATTTTATAACTGTGAAAATACAAAAATGACTTTATTGTCACTCAGGATACTGACAAATACAAAAATGACTTTATTGTCACTCAAGATACTGACATTTTGAACAAACAATAAAAAATGAGAGCAAACATATGGGAAGAGGAACACTTAAATTTGACATGTGCCTGAGTCAAACATAAATTTGAATACCAGTTTTCAAAACAGAAGTGACATGAACCCATTGTTTTGATCCATTTCATCTGGTTATCAGGCATGGTTATGGGACTGAAATGGCCTTGGTTGCCATGATAGATGACCTGTGTCAGGAGATGGACACTGGGAGTGCTACCCTATTAATTTCTCCCAGGGAGGTTGTGGAAACTATGAATATGTACCTGGAGGCATTATTGAGATGGATATGAAGGCTAACAAGCTGAAACTTAATCCTGACAAAATGAAGGTGTTACTGGTGGAGGGAAGTGTTTAACCCAGGAACTGGTATATATCCTGTTCTGTTCTGATTAGGGTTGCACTCCCCCTAAAGAGACGAATTCAAGGAACTGGCATTGACCTTTAAAGCCCTATGTGTCTTGGACCAGCCTCTCTGAACGACAACCTTCTCCCATATAAATCTACCTGATCTCTCTGGTTGTCTTCAGAAGCTATGCTTCAGGTACCCCCTCCATCTGAGGCTAGATGTGTGCTAACCAAAACTTTGGAACTCCCTCTTGAGGGAGATTGGTCTGTCTTCTGCCAGTTGGTGGTGGAGACTTGTTTTGTGCTGTTTCGCTTGACAGTCGCTCATTAACGCTTATTAGCCCTCCTCCCTGTTTGTTTTTATGTGTTTATATATTTTATTTAATTGTTTAAATAATATATATATATATTTATATATTAATACTGTTCTTAATGTTTGAAACATTTTAATATCTGCTGCCTTAGGGACCCTAAGTTGCTTGTAAAGGTAGCATAGAAACATTTTAAATAAATAAATGAATCTGTTGCAGCAAAAAAGATATATGACATCATAAAGGCTAACAAGTTTATTGTCGCAAGAGCTTCTGCAATCAGATGCAACTCTTATAGTGCTTTTCTAAGAACAGTTATACCCTTCTAATCCCATAAACTTCAGTGGATCTAGAAAGGTGCAACTCTGTTTAGGACTGCACTGTTAATCTTTAAGTCTGAGATATTGGATGTGGCAGACTCATCAGAGTTCCAAATTCCTATTTGAATAGTAGCTTCACTGCTTCACAGGAGACCCTTGAAACAAATCTGAGTCTCATCTAGCTTGAATTCTACTGCTCTGATTTTGTTCTTTTTGCCGGAGTCCTGATTCTGTCAGTCATAAAAGTGGCACCTTTCAGCAATGAGTCAGCAAAACCAGTGGTTTCTTTTGTCTCTTAAAAATGTTGACTACTCCTAGAAGCAGCTATGGGCTCACCTACTGAAGAAGATTAATATGTTCCTTTTGTTTCCCAGTTCTGGCATTTTGGCAAATGGGTTGATGTGGTAGTAGATGATCGACTGCCAGTAAATGAAGCAGGCCAACTTGTTTTCCTCTCATCTGTTTACAAGAACCTGTTCTGGGGAGCTCTTTTGGAAAAGGCTTATGCCAAGTAAGTATACCTGCAAACATTGTTCAAGGAATTATCTGTATATAAGATGGGACACATGACCCATCCCCAAATCTTTGGTTTTGTTCCTTGATACCTACCTTGCAATTAGTTGCCCAAATAAATGAAAAATGCTTGTATTAACTTTCTTTACAGGCTGTGTGGTTCCTATGAAGATTTACAGATTGGGCAAGTATCAGAAGCTCTAGTGGACTTTACAGGTGGGGTTAACATCACAATAAAACTGGCTGAAGCCCCACCTGACCTCTGGGATATATTGACAAGAGCAACTTACAGCAGATCTCTGATAGGCTGCCAGACCCATTTAGGGGTGAGAGTTATTATCTTTATTAATAATCACATCTGTATGCCTGATCTTCCCTCCAAAGGGCTTGGGGCAATATATCTGGAGTTTATCCCATTTTATCCTCATATTTCCCTGTAAGTTGGCCGAGAGATAACAACTGACTCCAAATCACCAGTAAATTTAAGAGTTGACCACTGATGTCTTCCGCCCCCCAGAGGTCATTTCGGGGGGGGAACGCGGGGGAACGCAGTTCCCCTGGGTGAGGTACGGGGGGCGGGGCACATGACGAAGCCCCGCCCCCTGCTTCCGGCCACCCTGCTTCCGGCCCTCATTCAGCCAGGAGGAGGCAGGAGAAGAGGGAGGGTAAGTTGCTTCCTCCCTGCCTCTCCCCACCCCTGCCTGCCTGGGGCCAGGGAGGGCCTTCGCGGGGCTTCCTTGCCCTCCTGCCGGCCTTGCAGGTCCACCGCCGGGCCCCTCATGGGGCTCGGCAGTGGAGCTGCAAGGCCGGCGGTGGCGGCCGGGACCGTTGGGGGCGGGGTGTGTGGCCTTATGACACACTTCTGGTGATGTCAGGGGGTGTGGCATATGCTAATGAGTTATGCTAATGAGTTCCCCTAGCTCTTTTTCTACGAAATGACCCCTGCCGCCCCCCCCCCACATTAACACTTTGTCTATTAAACTACATTTGCTCTTGATGAGTTAGTGTTACATAGATTTCAGATTGGGTTGTTGCCCAGAAAAAAAAATTGTCTCCTAATGTGAACCTCAAAACAATAATTTAGCTCTCCAGCCTCCATCCCTCAGTCAACTTCCATTTGTGTGTAGGCTCTCTATGGTCCTCAATACAGTTGCCAGATACTAGCACAAGGCAACCCAAGAGATCTGTAGTGGGAATAAGTCATTATACCAAGTAACAGATTCACCTCCCGCTATGCTGCTGCTGTAATCATGCACATCCCTGTGTGTGAAACGAAGGCCTGTTTAAAGCAGCAGTGTGCTGGTGGGGTGGAGTTAATGGTGAACACCTCCCCAATGTGGCATTTATAAGCAGAGTCTTTTGCACTGGGATTTGGTAGGTGTCGTCCTCAGAGGAAGATTCCCCACGGGGGAGAAAGCACTTCCAGTCTTATGAAGTCCACACCCTACCTGTATTATGGCACAGCTGAGCGTAAATTTAGGGATTCATCACTGTGCATTCAAACTGTGGCCAGGCAAATGCCACAATGAAATTCAAAGGCAATAATATCCAGCGACTGTGGTTACCCTCCAATGGTCAGAAGTCCCAAGGTACAGCAATTTGGGAACACTGCAAATAACAACCGAATGGCCTATATTTGTCTAATCCCTTTAAAACTGTTTATGTTAATATGCATTATAGCATCCCCTGGCAATAATTCTGTTAGTGAATTGTGTGTGTTGAGAAAACAGGCAATTTTATTCTTTCTTTTTTTAAAACTCAGCCTATTCATTTGATTCTGAGGTTTTTGTTATGCCGAGAGAAGAGAAAGTGAATAATTTGTCACCATTTCATCTCCTCACACCACCCATGATCTTGCAAACTCCTATTCATGCACCACCTCAGTCTTTAAAAAAAAGCACCTGAATACTTTTCTTCACTTGGCAAATGAGTCATTCCTCATAACTTCATAATAGGCTAAACAACTATCAAAGGAAAATGCCAAGAGTATGGCTTCCCCCAACCCAACTTTGTTTACATATAGGCTTCCAGAAAGCCAAAGAAATAACCAGGCAACAGATCTGGAATGTGGCCCTTCAGTCCAATAGGACCTGTTTGCAGAGGTACCCTGCTGCAATGCAGTATACTAAGAATTTTTTGCCAGCAGGCTCTCTCTCTGCCTTACAGATTCCTATACACCAGAAAATCTTCACTTTGGTATGTTTCAGTGCCTTGCCCTCAGCTTTTCTGAGATTCAGATATCTTTGCATTCCTTATTCCCAATGAATGTGCTCTTGAGACAGTTGACCACATATTATTACACTGACATACGTTGCCAATGCATTACGTTAATTTCAATAAATTCCCCAGGAAGATCAGAGCAATTCTACATTTCCTTCCTCCTTTCAAAATTCTCTAAATAAATCACTCCTAATGCAACAAAAAAATGCTCAACACGAAAGCAGATGGTTGGGTCTTCAAATAACTGACCCCCTCTATTATGAAATGTGTGTGAGAATTTTGAAATGTTGGGTTACAATGACATATGTAAGTATTTTTGTTGGTATTGTATGTGGCAGCTTTTATTGTTGCTATTGGTACTTTTTTGAGCTGATCTTGTATTGAAATAAATTGAACTGAACTGAAAAGGCCAAACGCAGAGTCTCCTAAGGAGTTTCAGTCAAGCTGCATAGGGCACTTACCCAGAGTCAAACGCCAGCTGCTTTCTCATAAATGCAAATCATGTTGCTTCATTAGGCAGCATGGAACATGTAGGGAACATTGTTTAGACTGAACATGGTTAAGCTCAACGGCTATTTTTTATATCCCTATATACAGAAAACCAGAGTCCTTGAGAATGGGTTGGTAGCGGGCCATGCCTATACAATGACTGGCATACGAAAAGTGAGTCCATATCTTTTTTGGATAGTTCCACATGGTGTTTTTTTTAAAATTGTCTGTGCTCTCATATTTCATTTGATCATGGCATTTGGGTGTGATCTAAAATGGCACCTTCCCTGGATTTATGACTGTTTGGGTCTTGTGGTATTTCTTCCCATATCTTTTATTGCCACAGGGCCTATCGAGCCAGCTTCTTTCAGCTCTAATTCCATTCTGATAGCTGTACCAGCCAGCCATCCCTTGTTTCTCCTGATGACTGACCTTCTTTCATCTTTGTGCATCTCAGTAATCTTTGGTTACGCCTCACACTTGTCCCTGTGCCAGCTGGATTCTCTGGCTCCTCCCCTCCCCTCCTTGCTGTTATTTCTTGTTGTTTTGGTCTTCCTTGGCCTGCTGTAGCCTCCCATGCTCAATTCTTCATGCACACCTTGCTGTTCCTGACTAGAAGACGTATAGGAACATAGGAAGCCCAAGAAGGGGGAGCTCATTCATTTTGCTGCATCAGTGAAAGTGCTGTCCCCTAGGAGAACTGGTTAAGACATCAAGGACGGTTTTCTTCAGTAGGTGGTCCAAGGGCTATATCAGATGCACCAAGGATCTTAGACTGAACTAGTGGTCTGCCAGAACTGGGTCTAGTGGTTGTTGCTCTCAGACAGAGATGCTGGCGCTACACAGGAGCCTTAAAGCTGGAGATGCCAGAGGGAATGTGAGACCTTCTGCATGTCAAGCATGCAAAGATAGCTCTGAGTGATGGCCCTTCTCTGAACATGACAACCAAGGCTGGGGGGCTCTCACAGGAACAGCAGATGTGTGGAACAGGTGATGGCCCTGAGGAAGCAGATATAAATGAATGGCGATGCTTCTTTGATCATTTAATTGGGTACCACTGATCAAGAGTCTCTTAGTTATAAAAATGACCTTGGACTTGAGGAGACTTTTGATGTATGTCACTGTCCTTGCTTTAAATACTGTCAAGCTTTATCGAAGATGATGAGAGCATCAAAATGGTTTCTTTTTTAGCGCTGCTCTCCTTTTAGTGACATGAATAAAACATAGAGGATAATAGCTGGGCCCGTGTGTAAATCAAGGGCTGTAATTGATTCACGAGTCTCTGTTGATAGCAGAGTCCACAAGTGTATGCTAAGCTAAGCTGAGTTACATTTATCTTCAGCAGAAATGAGAACTTGTGAAGAGCGAGCATGTTTTTCAGGTGCTATGCTTTTGGCCATAATACAAGTATAGTACACAACAAGATGAGCTGCATCTGCACATCTTTAACTGTTACCACACATGTTTATTCCCAGTACTGATAAATCTGGAAATGCTCATAAATCCTCCTATGGTGGACACCAGGCTAGGCACCTCCCACATCCAGAGGCAAAGCACACCAGCATTTACTTGAACAAATTGGCATTATTTGGCTACGTATACTGATCCACGGTCATTCTTATGATAGGGTAGAGCTCTGTTCTTCAACAATGGCCCAACAGGATTGGGCCATCTAAAACTCTCCAGCTGACTATCTGAACCTCTGCCGTTTCTTTTCTGTTCTGTTATGCATTCCCAGGGCTGCATAGGGAGGCAGCCATCCCAAACAGCTCCCAGGCGCCATCTTTCCTTCTCTGCAGCACCCATGTCAGCTGAGTAAACCTGCTAGATAGAGAGGGCTCTTTGCATTTTACCTTTGAAAACTGAATCTAGCCATCACTGATCCACCCTTAATTGATCTCGCTAAGTGTCATAATGAAGATAAAAGTAGGGATTGATAGCTGTTTGAGATTGCCTAGTCTAGAATAAAGGATGTGTCAAAAATGGGGAAATCAACATGCTTCTGAAGAGGCCTTAGGGTATGCTAAACAGTCTAATGGAAGAATAAGCTGGGTGGAAGTATTTTCGTGGACCAAAACTGGTATGGGATCAAGCATGGAGGTGATGGCAGTCATACTATTCAGGATACATGTAAAGATATGATAATTTAGTTATGGCTGCCATGAGTCAGTCAAAATGGGAAACGCTTACATGCTCTCAGAAGATGTTTGGGGTTTGCTGAGTCTCTAGTGGAGGAAAAGTTCACAGATGGGGGTGACCACAGGCACCCTTGCTGGTGCAAACTAGACAAAAAGATGATACACACAAGAGGGATTTTGTGATCAGTATGACAAAATGTGACAATGGACATAGGGAAAGTACATATTTAGGGCCCAGCTGCTGAAAAATACTGTAGGCAAAACTTGACATCTTGAATTGCGCCCAGGTTGTTATAAGCAGCTGGTACAGCTGGGCAATGAACAGTGGCCTTTGTAAAGGCAATCCATTATTGTTTTGACAGGTGACTTGCAAACATGGACCTGAATATTTAGTAAGACTGAAAAATCCTTGGGGGAAGGTTGAATGGAAAGGAGACTGGAGTGACGGGTGAGTGTTTCAATTAAGTGGGGTCTCCAAAGGGCAGCTCATGAGATACAGGTGGCTTGCAGGCTGCTACAGATTAGCTTGCACAGCCCTTAGAAGATCCAGGAAAAGATCACTAAAAGATCTACTCTAGAGTTTTTTAAATGCTTTTATTTCATAATATTTTTCTCTGTGTTGCTTAGCTGATAGCCTCCTGACTGGTACTCTTCGGAGTCCACCTTTTGTTTCTGGGGCAAAACAAAACAGGCCTGGGGGGGGGGGAGTGGCTTTGGATACTTTTCATTCTCAGAAGTAGTTCACATTAAATAAAAGTTTGGCAGGTGACCCCAGTTTACAGCAACAAAAAAGCAAAGATTTGACTGGAAGAAATCACACTGCCATCTGCTGGCAGAGCTTAATGCAAGCAATCTCGTGGGTGATGATATCGAGGTTAAATGAATTTAGGTGCACATGACTTAAAAGGTCAGGTTCATGACAGTGAAATGTTGCAGTGAGATGGTATGAAAATACTGACATCTTGTAACACTGGGTGTGCTTAGCCTGATACATTCCCAAGCCATAGTGCAAGGATGATTAAGTGGTTGGGGCACCTTTCCTATGATGAAAGGCTGAAGAGTTTGGGACTTTTCACTTCAATAAAAGACCACTGGGGGGGGCATGATAGTGGTTTACCAAATTATGCACAGGGTAGAGAAAGTGGGCAGAGAAAAAATGTTCTCCCTCTCCCAAAGTATCAGAACCCAGGAGCATCCAGTGAAACTGAATACCAGTGCCAGGAGGCAGCATCAGGTGAAGGCCTCATCCTGCATGCCCTGTTGTTGGCCCTCTAATTGTGTGAAACACAAGAATAAGAAGAGCTGGGTTTTTTATACCCCGCTTTTATCTCCCCTGAGGCGTCTCAAAATGGCTTACAATCTCCCTCCCTTCCTCTCCCCACAACAAGCACATTGTGAGGTAGGCGGGGCTGGGAGAGTCCCGAGAGAACTGTGACTGGCCCCAGGTCACACTCAGCAGAGGCTTCACATGAAGGAGCGGGGAATCAAACCCGGTTCTCCAGATTCGATTCCGCTGGTCTTGACCACTATATCATGATGGCCCTAGTCCAGGATGCTGGACCACTGGTCTTATCCAGTGGTGCTCTTCTTATGTTCACTCCTGCAAACGCATCAGGGAGAGCAGGCATGGCACAGACCTTGTAAAGGACTGTGAAGAAGGGGGAATTCCTGTGGGTGCTGCATACTAGAGTGAGAAAAAGATTCACTTGCTGAAATGACCAGGGCTGAGGCACTGTCCAAGCCATGGCAACCCTGTTCTCTGTTGCATTCATCTCCGCTTAGGGCATCCTGATCCAGTGGTTTTCAGACTTCCTTCCCTTCATGTGGCACCCTGCATGTGTCAGACTATCCACTATGGAGCCCATGTGTATTGCGGAAGATTCTGGCCAAGCATCCTAGGGGCACTACCAGTTTACACAGTTGAACTGCTGTGCACAGCAGGCTTAGCTAGGTGCCCCACCTGTGTGCCCAAGAACAAGCCCAGAGTATGGCAATTTGTCCATCACTGACAGTCTTGTCATTGATGAATCCTGAATGGCATTTTGTGGCAGCCGGGACCCGTCTTTTGTGACAATCTCCTTAGGCTTTATTTTTAGAAGACTGTTTGTTGGGGGGGGGGAAGGGGCAGGTTGACAGGGCCTGTAGATATAATTAAGGAGCCGCTATTCTCCACCCTCCCATAATTTGAGCACTGCAGAAAAGTTGTCTATAATACTGTTTCAAAAAAATCTTTTTCCTGGTCCCATTAGGTCTTGGAAATGGGAACTCCTCAGCCCCAAGGAGAAGATTTTGCTGCGCAGAAATGACGATGATGGGGAGTTCTGGTAATTTTAACGAAGTATCTTGTCACTTCTTCTTTACTTCTGCCACTTTTGACACCTAAGACCAAAGTTCTCAAATGTTCATAAACCTCCTAAAATTAAGAAAGTATGAAAAGCCTTCCGCCATTTTTCTTTGGTCAGATCCTCACATAAGACATGCATTTGGGTGGAAGGAAGCAGTACTGAAATTAATGGGATTTTCTTTCCTGCAGTGTATTTAGGAGAGGCATAAAGACAAAGTGATTGGCTTGGTAGAAGTTCACTCATGCCCGTGTCCCATGGCACTAAGATCATAAGAAAATAGGAAGGAATGACTCAGTGAAGAAGGATTGTCCTAATGGAGGGACTGGTTGGTCAGATAGATTTGCTCTCTCTTCTCTGGGCTAGTGAAGAAATTCAAGAAGACAGAGTTAGGAAGGTGCTCTACAAATGTTTCCACCAGGGGTCATTTCCTGCAGGAGTGCTCAGGAGCGGAGCTCCGGCAGTAAAGAGCCCAGGGGGTGGGCACATGCAACAAGCTCCACCCCCTGCTCCCAGCAGTCCTCAGGCAGAGCAAGAAGCAGCCAGGTAAGTTGCAGAGCCCCCCCCACCCCCCAGGTCCAAAACAGTCCAGTGGCACCTTTAAGACCAAGTTTTATTCAGGTACAAGCTCTCCCTCCTCTGTGAGGACAGATCTGCACGTTCCTCCCCCCCCCGCAATAGCTAGCAATCCAAAACAGTCCAGTGGAGCCTGAGCGATGGGTGTTGCCTTCTGACGCACTTCAGGTGATGTCAGGGGGTGTGGCATATGCTAATGAGTTATGCTAATGAGCTCCTGCACCTCTTTTTCTACGAAATGACCCCTGGTTTCTACACTTCCCGGTAAGAGCCTGTCTTATTTTTAAAATTATGAAAGTATTACACTTCTGAATAATCATTGGATTTGGTTTATGTTCTTTTTATGTTTTACTTTGTAGACACCTTGTAAACAGGCTATATGGAGAGGCAGCAGAGAACTTATCTAAACAAACTGCAGCTTTGGAGGCCCTGTACCACCCCAGCTCCAACAGTAAGAAACAGATCAAATGTCCAGATCAGTGTAGGAAGGAATTTTTCAAAGCATCCACATGATGTTTGTATCACTCCCTTTTGTTCCCCTTCTATTGCCTTTCATGGTTTCCCCTCCTTTGCACCAGTGTTTTCAGAACCAACTTGGACCTCATGCTTCCATAAATATCAAAGAATGTTAGCCCACGTGTGCATGTGGAAGTACAGATATTTTACCAGCTTTTCAAGAAATACTGGTAGTAAATATAACTCTGTCATGTTTATCAATATACCAACAACTGATTTTCTTTAAAAGCCTGCTGGCAGTGTGCATGTGTTGGGGGGAGGCAGTGCAAGGAAATGGCGAGAGCAAATGGCACCAGCTGTGGATGGGGAAGTTCAGATATCTTACTGTTGGAGCTGGGGTGGCTCAGTGCCTCCAAAGCTATAGTTTATTTAGATAAGTTCTCTGCTGCCTCTCCATATAGCCTGTTTACAAGGTGTCTACAAAGTAAAACATAAAAAGAACATAAACCAAATCCAATGATTATTCAGAAGTGTAATACTTTCATAATTTTAAAAGTAAGACAGGTTCTTACAGGGAAGTATGGAAACATTTGTAGAGCACCTTCCTAACTCTGTCTTCTTGAATTTCTTCACTAGCCCAGAGAAGAGAGAGCAAATCTATCTGACCAACCAGTCCCTCCATTAGGACAATCCTTCTTCACTGAGTCATTCCTTCCTCTTTTCTTATGATCTTAGTGCCATGGTACACGGACATGAGTGAACGTCTACCAGTACTGTAGGGACAGGGGAATGGCGGGTGGGAGAGAATGGGAAGACAAAACCTGAGATCCACTGCTAATGCCTCTTCACTGGCAGTGGTGGCAGTGAGTCCACAATAGGGAATTGTCTTCTCTTTGGAGCAGCCAGAGGAAGGGGGTGGGTGGGAGTGTGAGAGAGAGAGAATAAAATACCTTGAGTGCCAGTTTCCTGAGCTGATTCCTGGTTCCATTTTATTTTATTTATTTACATGGGATTTATATACCGCCCATGACCCCTAATGGGTCTCAGAGCAGTTTACAGACAACTACAATGTAGTAGTTAATACCTAACTAGGGCCACAATTCTCTTGGGGAAAGGATACCCTACCAGCACCCCTGCGGCTTAGTCCTTCTTCTTCTTCCATGGTGGGTTTTGCCTGAACAAGAAACAAACATGGCAGATCTGATCACATATCTCTCAGCTTCATTTCTAGGTTAGTTCATATTTACCCCTACACATATATCCCAGCAGGACTGGATTCATGAATCTTCGCATTAGCATGCAATTGTGCCACTAGATGGCAGTGTTAACATACAGTTGAATTCCGCATCTTGTCCTTCGGCTCACAAACATCCATCCACAAATACTTTCTTCGCAATTGCCATTTCTGCCCATCCTCCTGTTGCTGCTTGCTAATAATTAAGTGTGTGCTGAGCACTGACAGTGTGTCAGGCGTTGCGCAGGACAAAGAAGTGATGGTTGCTTCTTGTAGACTAAGGGTGTGTTTGCTTTGTGTAGATGAAGGTTGCTAAGTTGCATCCCTCTTCTGTCTACCTGCCGGGCAGAAATTCAGCAGCCAAGCCTCCCTCTCATATGGATCTGTAGTGTGTGTGTCTGCATGTGTGTGGGGGTCAGCCGATGAGCGTCTGCTTGAAGTTCTCTGAAGTGTTTTGTTTACTTGCTCCATTTTTGGCCTAAGCCAGCCTCCCAAGATGGTCCAAATGATATAAAGTCTTCGGAATGCTGCCGGGGTGGGGAAGATGGCCCATGGAGGCATGCGCAGATCTGTCTTGGGTTAAAAAGACAGGACGAAAGTGACGGAGCAGAAAATCCTCAGTGGAACTGAAGTTTGCTATGACTTGACCCCCGAATCTCTTCTCAGTAACAAGGATCAGCTGTAAAGGAGAAGTGGGGCTTGCAGAGTCTCCAGAGAGCCTTTCCCTTACCTCAGATGAATCATAACACCCCCTTCCCAATGTGTCCGGACTTGGAGAGGAAAGGGTTGCCAGGGCAAAGGGTGTGACTTGAGGCTCAACATTTCTAATTTTAGAAATTAAGACCTGATTGGGGGGAAGTTAAAATGATACAGATTTTATTTCCAGTGCTCTGAAAAGGACCTCTGCAGTGCCTCATGAGGGGGGTTGTAAATACACTGGCTGGAATGCACTGGCTTCAGTGATGAGTTAAAAAGAGGGACTTGGCATGTAAGAAGGAAGGCTGTTCTTTGAAGTTCTGCCCAAGTTCCCTCTAATGCTATGATAATTCCACAGCCACTTTAGCTGTAGGCTGTCTCTGGAGCAGATATCCACTTCTTTGCTCTTTCAAGAAAACAAAATGCTTTACCACTCAGATTTGCCTTTTCCTTTGAATACCACTTTAGACCTCTAACTCTGAATGTCTTGGTTCCTTTATCATAGGATGTCTCTGCAAGATTTTAAAACCCATTTTGACAATCTAATTATCTGTAAATTAACTCCCGACCTAATGAGCCAGGAAGACGGGAAGAAGTGGATGTCCTCCTTGCAGTTTGGCAGATGGGTCAAAGGAGTTACAGCAGGGGGCAGGTTGAGGACCCAAAAAGGTAAGACCTGGCTGGGGACATGAGATTTTAAAATAATCATGTACTTTACTGCAATAAATAAGTATGTACTGCAATGTGATTATTATGATTATTTTCTTGGATGGATGCCTTTTTATGGATGTGTTAAATGCAATATTACTTTGGGTTGGATCCTATCTAAAATGTCCATCTAGTCCCCCTTCCCAATGCAGGCCACACTCAGGTCATTTCTCAGTAGGGTTGGCAGTCCTTGGCAGGCAGTCCCTGGGAGTTTTGGTGGTGGGAAGGGGGGACTGCAGAAATTTGAGTAAAGCTCTGGTGATTTCCCAGATCAATACGTTGCATTGCGTAACATAGGTTTCCTCTTCTATTTTTGCTCCCACTGCTCCGTTGAGCTGCAGCAGGAACCAGAGGTGCCCGGGGGGGGGGGGGGAGTGGCCTGCCACAGTGGCAACCATGCCACCCTGTTCCCCAGGGTCCCCTGTCCCCCAGGAGCAGCCTTTCCTGGAGATAAGTGGGCTGCGGTAGAAAGGAGGAGGCAGGAAAATTCCATTCTGCCCCTGGAAAGTTTAGCCTGGACCCAACCAGTGTTCCCTCTAAGCTGAGTTAGTGTGAGCTAGCTCACAGTTTTTTAGCCTACGGCTCACACATTTTTGTCTCGGCTCAGGAAAAAATGGCTCCAGAGCAAACTAATTTATCCAGGAGCCAAATCACTCACTCACAGCTTTAATGCCAGTAGCTCACAAAGGAGAATTTTTGCTCACAGGACTCCACAGCTTAGAGGGAACATTGGACCCAACCCATTGTTTTGCTGCCAAGTTGTTAAATAAATTTGAAGGATGAACCTTTTATGCTTTGGGAACTGGGAAGTTCATACACATCCTGACCAGTGTTCCCTCTAAGCTGAGTTAGTGTGAGCTTGCTCACAGGTTTTTAGCCTCCAGCTCACACATTTTGTCTTAGCTCAGGAAGGATGGCTCCAGAGCAAGCTAGTTTATGCAGTAGCCAGATTGCTCACTCACAACTTTAATGCCCGTAGCTCACAAAGTAGAATTTTTTCTCACAAAATAATTCATCCTGTTATGTATTGGGACTGGAACATTCCAGGACTGCTCTACCAGAGACTGGCTGAGCTTGGCGCTCTAGAACAATAGCCCACCAGGACTCTGGAGGTGACCAGTGAGGAATTAATGTAATGTAAATAGCCTATCAGGAGTTGGGTGTGGTGTTTGCATGTTATTTAAACAGGGCTGTTGCCCTGGAGTTTTGCTTTGTTTCTGCTGAATCACTAATAAAGCTGAGCTTATCAGTAGACTTGGGGTCTGCTCATCCATGGAACCCAGTATTTAACACATCCTGACCCTTAAAAACAACTGCATAGGTGCAAAGTCTTGTATGCTTAGTACACATCATACAAGTGAGTTTTCTTCAGTAAGTGGCACTGCCATATTTCTTGGAAGGTCCTCATATAAATTAAGGGATAATCTGTGATTTCCTTCTATAACCCTATTGCCATGCCAAATGTCTATGCAGATTTTAGTGTCTCTGAATTGTTTACTTATGGGTTATTTCTTGCTTGTTGGAATCCTGATTTAATAACTTATTAATATAATGGATCCATAAAGTCACATCATCCTGCATACTGTTAGTAGGATGTGCTTTCTGATACTATCCCTGTCCTGGTTGGGGTTTTTTTGCTTTGGCACCACAATGCAAACTGTATCGGTAAGCAATGTTCCCTCTAAGCCGTGGAGTCTTGTGAGCACAAATTCTATTTTGTGAGCTACTGGCATTAAAGTTGTGAGTGAGCAATCTGGCTACTGCATAAGTTAGTTTGCTCTGGAGCCATCCTTCCTGAGCTAAGACAAAAATGTGTGAGCTGGAGGCTAAAAATCTGTGGGCTAGCTCACACTAACTCAGCTTAGAGGGAACACTGTCGGTAAGCCTTGCAAGAATGTACTGAACTGCACTGGAAGTATGTGGCTCACATATTTGTGGCCTTGATTCCCAGATACATTTTGGATGAATCCCCAATACCAGCTGAACGTTCTGCAAGGAAACGGGAGCAAGAGATCCTTGTACTCTTGCAGTGTGTTGGTGTCTCTGATCCAAAAACACAACAGCAAACACCGAAATCAGATGCCTCATCTTCACATAGGCTTTTATGTCTTTAAGGTAGGCCTGATATCTTTTTACTGATGCTGAATTACTGGGGGTGAGTTGTCCTGGGCAATCTCTGAGAAGGCCCCTCTGGCTCTTCCAGTGAACAGAAGCACCAAGCAGCTTCCTCTTCCCTGGCTAGAAGAGAATCCTGTCCTGTCCTTGCGACTATATCTGCACACTGGGACAAGGATCCTCCCCAGTTCTAGTGTCTCTTTAAAAAAAAAAAGTATTGTGCAATAGCTGACTCTGAGAGTCGGAGAAGTACCAGGATATACAATATCCTGTCTAAGGGGAAACAGTGCCCTTCATCCTTGTTTTGGATGAGGAAATCTTCCACTGACTTCATTATTGTTTTGTAGATGATATAGAGAGAGCAGCCTTGCCTCTATATTCAGTCCAGTTTTCATTCATAAAATGAAAAGGGGCTAAAGATTGCAGTGGCAGTCTGTGCCCTGAGCAGGGTGAATGAACTGTGTAGATGTCTGGCATGAGGTTTAAAATGCTTCAACTGAGGCTCCCTTTGTTGGGTTTAGGGGCTGAATTTCATGTGTGCAAGTGACCTAGAATTCTCTAAAATCCACCAACTTATTTATATTCAACTTTCTTTCCTTCTAGGTGGGCCAGCAGGTATGTAGAATCTTAACACCCCTTATTTATATATTGGCAACATCTTTTCCTTTTGTCATTTTGTTCAAACAGTGTTTTGCTTAGTCTTAGGGCAGGAAAGAATATTTTTAAATCATTTCAAGCACTTGCAGTTTTGATTCAAATGCAATTCCAGTTCCATTGAATTTTGTCTCAGAGTTGGGAACTTTGAATACTGAAAAGAGATTTGATGTGCCAAAATACTGAAATATGCTGCAGAGGTGTGCTGAATTCAAATATAGACTGCAATCTAAACCACACTTATTGGAAATTTGGCAGAATTGGTTTACGGTATCCAATACAGCCAAATCTTAATTTTGTTGTGTTTTCAGACCTTCTGTTCACATTAAATGTGCAGATGTGAAATTCAGGGCTAGCGCAAAGTTGTTTCATCCTATTTAAGACAAGTTTCTTAAGGCATCTGAAAGATTGTTAATATCACAACTGAATACATTTCAAGACAATGCACTGTTACAGCTTAATTATTAGTTGCGATGTTCCCTAGCTGTACCCAGAAGCAATAGAAGGCTGAGTGAGAAATGATTTTATATTTTCTTTGAACAATCAGAGAGACCTGGAGGTAGATCTTGCATCTTTTTGATTCATTCCTTGTGGGATTATTTGTGAATGCTGCTAAATCAATACAAGCATTTTTGTCTGTTTGATTTACCCAACATTTAAATGATGCTCGTAAGCTCCTCTGAACCAAGGTATTTTGGATTCTTCATACTTAAATAGATATATGTCAGTGAAGGAAATGTCCTTAAGGGTATTTCTGCCTGCGCACAAAGTCACACGTTGTAATCTGCTGGCTGCATTCTGATACATAGCAGAGGTATGAAACCAAGTCCAGTGGAAAATTGGAGCAATTAATCTGCATGGGGAATGTCCCTGGTACAGGTACACCCTGAGCTACCCTGTTCCTGCCCCATTAGAAAATTATAATGCAGGTAACTTGGGACTTCTCCTTTAAACTATAGCAAAACAATAAGAACAGATTTTTCCAAAGTGTAGATAACACCCCCAGGTTTTACTCAAGGCTAGTCAATAAAAAGAAAAGTGAAAAATAATTGTGGCCTAGCAAATAATTTTAATTCACACTGCCAGAGTTCCAGAGGTGAATGACCATGGGCTCAGTTGGCACATCTCTCCCTTATATATAAAGCCGTAGTGGGGCCCAATGTTCCAATTCACACCAACAGTGTTTGGAGGCTTGAACTGTCAGTCAGAAGACATTGGCTGGGTTGCCTGGCTGCTTTGTGTAGTCCCGCCCACGTCAGCCCCGGGCAGAATGTTCAGCTCAGTCTGCTCTGGGCCTCTGACAGGAGAGGACCATCTGCAGACTGAGCACAGGGAAGGGGCTTCTACGGCTGGGCCGCTTCAGCCCACTCTTCTCTGATTGGGCCAGCGTTTCAAGGTCATTTGCATATGGAAGCTGATTGGACTTCACTCCATTCCACACCTCAAACTCCTCCCCACACAAGACAGTTGGAATTGCCAGTTGCATATGGGACCTGCTGCATTCTGAGGTAAAATATGTCCTCACTCACAACACATCACTTCCCCTTCAACAGAAACAAACCCAATAACACAATCATGCCACACCACAAGCAGAATACCACAAGGCAAAAAATGATAGGAAAAGGTGCCAGCAGTCACCCCATTACTGCCACAGATACCAGAGAGCACTTCAGAGGATGGTGTGCAGATCCCAGGTTCATGTTTTAAAAGCTGCCTGGGGGATTATGGACCATTCACACACTTTCAGCCTTAACATACCTCATAGGTTAGTTGTGCGGATCAATTGTTGCCAATCTCCAGGTGAGGGCTAGAGATCACTCAAAATTACAACTGCTCTTCAGGTAGCAGAGATCAGTTCCTCTGGAGAAAACAGTGGACTCTGTCATTATACCCTGCTGAGGTCGCCACAGCAAATTGCCACTGTTTGCCCAAAGCCAGAGCACTCTCCCAGAGCCTCTTTTTAAATCCCGTTGTATTTATTTCCACAACGGGCCTTATTTCTAGTCTGTAATAAAAAAGAAGACAGTGTCTAGGAGCAAAAGCCCATTTACCTTACAACCATAACCCAGTGCATAAAAT